ACAGGAAATGTTACAAGATATATTAGATGAATACTTCTTGATTATACTTCTGAGGAATGAAAGCAATTAAGTATTTACCATACGTTCCATTCGTATATACTTTCACAAATTAAGGAATAAATCCAATTTAAATTACTGAATTAAAGTCAAATAACTGATATTATATGTAATGTTTATGAACAAAATAAACCAAAATGAAATGAAACGCAAGCACATGCAATAAGCACACAACAAATTTCCGTAGTATTGCGAAAATTGCCGCCAGTATTTCCTCCCACGCCAACGATACACCATTGAGCATGCGCAGTAAACGAAATTCCTTAACGTTGATCAACTCAATGTGCGGTTTGCCATTACGTGAAAGAAAGGAATGTTGTTGATTCGTGGTTTCAGCATGATGTCGACGATGTTATGATCTTACAATTATATCAAATTTTTATCATTATAATTAATATTTCATATACGCTTAGTACTGCTTGTTTTAATCGGTACGAAAAGCATACAAAGGTTATCTGTCTATGGGAAGGGATGCCATGCCATTCGTGGAAGACTTTCAAAGAGAAACCTGTTTATTTACCTTATACGCAAGGAAATCCATAAACTCTCGTTCAGCTCATTCTCGAATATTCTAACCTATGTCGAATTAGCACTGTTCATCACTCTTATACATTCTGTTCACTAATGGGTTATATGCTTTTTTCATTCCATTTAAATTCTCTTAATTTATACTTCCTTTTAATCGGTAGTTATCTGATTATTTGTCCCAAACACAGACGCACAAAAATAAATAAATAAATCTTAAAGCTTTCAGATTTTATATTACACCCAAAGGGGCGTCTTTTAACGTTTTGAGTGTTACTTTTATTTATTAAATATCATGTTCTCTGCACTTAAACTCAATTCTACAGCAATACACCACAAAATAAATTAAAAAGAGTATATCTTTAGAATTTCCGATACACGCGCTGGAGATATTTTTTTTTCTTTTTCCCTGCAGTGTTGCCATTGCTCGCTTTGAAATCGATGAGTTTGTTAATCAAAAATTCGAAGTTTTACAAAATATGAAATAGATAATAAAGCAAATTCTAAACTCCAAATTTGGGCTTCCAGATGCTTATATTCGAGTGAAGGACTACGTTATTCAAAGTTTGATGTCTCCAGTTACCGTTTTTTTTTTATTACACAACGAGAAACATACATACATTCATGCAAATTCTTCATTATTTACTTCTTTGAAAAAACGAAAAACTCGCAATACCCGGCTATTAAAGAGCTCACAAACTATGATCCCAAAGAGGAACATGTAGTAAAGAGACCGCGAACTATCCATCATAATGCATTATGGTGGTAGTGTACATTCTGTATATTTTATTCTACTTATTTCACGTATTTTAGTACTCTTCATTTTATCAAGTTTTGCTTATGTTTTGGACTATGCTCTGACAAAGCTTATGGACTTTGATTGCAACTTATATTACTTACTTATTATTTCTATTTAACCAAGAATTTATTTAGTACTGTGCAGTGTTTATAGCAAAGACTTAGCTTACAGTGAAAAATTTTAGTTCGCGGTCTTATGACTCCTTCACTCGCTACTGGCCATCTCGCATCACGTGGTGTTTACTCTGCAACTTTAAGAAAATAAATTTTCTTGCATAATTAATTAATTGTACTGTACCCGAATTATGTTTCTGAAGAATAATGACATTATTATCTCTTCAAATTCGCCTTTTTGAACTTCTACAGTCTTACTTTACGTTTTATTCAGCAATTTTATGAAACTTAGGACTTATTTTGCACCGACCACTGCTAATGGCATGCCATTTAATTGCATTTAAAAATTACTAATTACTGAGTTTATCTCATGACTTCGATCTCGCCTTCGGGTGTGGTGCATTTTTCAATACACCTCTTATTTTATTATGATTACTAAGGTAAAATGTTTAACTACTGGTTAGAACTCTTAGAAGTTGATGCCAGAAGAGAAGATACGATCCTAGATCCTAGATACTCTTCATTATTTAATTTCTTTAAATGTAATGCAAGACTCTACTATTTGGTGGCAACAATTCGAAAAGTGAAACGGTGTTTATAGTGAGCCAAAATGCCAAAACGAAATTAATAGCCCTTCTGGGCAATTTTATCCTTTGGGCTAATAATAAAATAAAATAAATTACTCTGCAGTGAATGAATTTTTTAGCTGCGTATTTAAAAACTACTCTTTCAGATGATTTTAAATAACAATAATTTAAATTGCTAGGTGACTAAGAAAATAAAATTCATTGCATTGAAAGTATCGAAGTTGGCATGCTCTTTACATTTTAAAAAAAAAAAAAAAAAACTTAATATTTTTGCGGTATTTATTGACTTAACTGAAATTCGAAATTAATGTAAAACACAATTACTCAAAATTAGTTTACAGTGTTTCCTTCCCTCTTTTGTGCATTATTTAGATGATAAGTAACAAATCTCAAAATTAAATTCTCCAACTTATTTTTTTAAAAAATATTTATATTCTTTTAAACATTATGCTTTTAGATGCTTGGTCCGAAACGAAAGGGCTTTTTCTTCTTTAGTGACATTAGGCTTGATAGCTAGAGGGAAAGTGGGAACAGATACGGAGGGCTATTCAAAGCTGTAACAGAACAAGAAGTTTAAGCTTTACGACTTGAAAGTGTCTCCTAACCTTCGAAGTATTTTCCCGCCACTTGTTAGCTGAGGAAGGATGATTTTCCTGATCTTACTTTCAAATGGAAAATCGTAAACTTTCTGTCCATTTTTTGTTAATCACATGAATATTTTTGGAAGCTGGAATGCAATATTTAAAAAAAACTTTGAAAATTAATTAGCGCTTTTTTTAAGTATAGGTGGTGGTCAAGTGGGAGAGTGCCCGGTCTCCCAGGGCACCCTCGCTGGCTACGCGGCTAATTTTAAAACTGTAGTATCACTTCTTATTTTCTACTTCCGGCCAGAATTAGATGTGTTTACTTGTTTATGCAAATTCTACTTGCTAACGCCTAAGTATTTAATTTGTGGCTTTTTGCCAAGAGTTAGAGGAATCGAGCTTCTTGCCACTGCATTCTTACGAGTTTTCAATTAGTTGCTGCTTGCCTTTAAAACCAGAGGTTTGGTCCTCTTGATATTTGAAAACGTATTGTAGTTTCAGCAGTTTGGCGTACTACATACGTACCTTTTTTTAAAAAAATGCCAGTCTTAGTGCTAGGCATTTGTGTAAACTAATCAAAGTCAGCTCTTATTTAAAATTTTAGTTAGTAGATTTATATTTTTACGCTCAGACCACAAGTGGTTCGTCTCTGTATCCCGAAGTACGGGAGAACCTGTAAATTAATAGAGAATAAAGGATTCAGTACACCCTTCCTGCTTGTGTCGTCTATTCTACACATACTTGAACATAGCTTTAGTAAGCTCCCGGTTCCTATTCAGGATACGTTATATTTCCAAAGCAAGTCAAAAGACATACAAGTCCTGACACACTGCGAAAAAAGAAAGATAAAGTTAAGATATGTATTATACGTATAGGATAAAATTAGGTATGCATTATATTAAAAAAATTAGGATATGTATTAGATTTATATATAGCATTGTTCTAATATAGTATTTTGACACAAAATCGGACTTTTTCTAAAATGGCATACCCTTTTTTCCCATATTTCGATACTATGAGTCAAATTGCGCCAAAGTGCCAAGTTTTATAAAAATCGCACGACCAGTTTTTAAAAAATTAGCTCTCAAAATTTTAGCTCCTTAATGTTTAGTTTGGTATATATTTATTAATCTCTCCTTTTTTTCATTAAACTTATTTGATTCTTCCTTTCACATTTCTAAATTTAGGTTTATTTCAAATAACATTCGCCCATTTTTTATGATTTATTTTTTAAATTTGTATTTTTAAATAAATTTTTCGAAAAACATTCTAAATTATAATCTATAAAATTTTTTACCATCATCTTAAAGTAGATGTATTTCTAACCATACCTGCAAAAAATTACAGTTTTTTATTCAAAATTTACGAAGATATATAAGTGAATTTATATATTTTTACGTTTTGAAATTTGGCATATTGGTTGAAAGCGATAATAACATCAAATGTGGTTTAGGCATTTTATTAAAATTATTTGAAAGTAGGAATGGTGTGACTTTTTTCCGCTTCTGCATAATGGAAGGGAAAGAAAAATTGGTTGCCATATATTAAGAAGTTAGCCAAGTGGCGCAAAATCACAAAAATACGTCAAGATAAAGTTTTGAATTTCTACGTACATTTCGCACCAAATTTTACAAAATTTAATATTTAGGCATAATTTGAGTCGTAGAATCGAAATATGGAAAACAATTTGTATGTTATTTCAGAAAAGTCCGATTTTGTGTCAAAATACCTATGTTAGAACAATGCTATACATAAATGTAATATATGTCCTAAATTGAGCTTTCGAGACATGAAAAACATAATTTGAATTTCGTCAATCGGTCCAGTAGAACGGAAGATATAGAACTGTCCCCCCTTTTTTGTGCAGTGTTGCATGTTTAATTAATATTGAGTAGGTAAAATTTTAGGATCTAATTTTTTAAAAACTACTCGTGCGATTTTTATAAAAAGTGGCACTTTGGCATATTTTGAATCGTAGATTCAAAGCATGAAAAAAATTGGTATGCCATTTTAGAAAAAGGTCTGATTTTGTGTCAAAATACATATGTTAGAACAAAGATATATACAAATCTTATTCAAATCCTAAGTTGCTCTTTCGAGGCCTGAAAAACGCAAGTTGAATTTCGTCAATTATGGTGCAGTTGCATCCAATTCTTAACTCTTTTTTTTTTTTTTTTTTTTTTTTTTTTATCTAAGTTAATTATTACGTTAAATATATTATAACTGAGGAGACAATAATTCTGACCCGTAGGTTTACAGTAAAAAGTTCTAAAAATTACGAAAAGAGTGCTTTCAACATTTTTTTCAAACAAAAGAAATTTTTAACAACTGTAAATCTTGTGTAAATATTTATTAAGCCAAAGGTGCTTCATAAAATCGAGTAAATATGAATGAATTAGTACAGCAGCTAATTCCTGAAATTTCTGTAAACCTTTTTTAAATATTTATTAAGATAAAGGTGCTTCATAAAATGGAGTAAATTGTGTAATAGCAATGATTTAGTAAAGCAGTTAATTCCTGAATTTTATATCTTCAGTTGCTGTTTTCAGCTACCAGAATTCACATTTCTTGCTTGGATTCATTAGAGAGCCTTCTGGACATTGAAAATCTTTGGCGAAATCTGCCTGATTAAGAATTGGTGCTACCACTCTGAAACAGAAGACATATTTTAAATATACTTAAATTTAAACACAAAACATGAATTTTACCTTTTTAATGCCATCTCCCACAAAAATTCTCTTTCCATTTTGGAACAATTACTGAGAAACAAAATTAAGCATTTTTTATTGTATAAAGAATATCAATTAAATAAGTAAATTTCTTAACACTGAATTCAAATATATCAACAATGCTTTTGCCCCACCCATAGTTTTTTGCGACTCAATGTTGAGCTTATTGAATGTTTAAATTATTTAAGCCAACGGTTCCCAAACTGCTTCTCGGAGCCCTAAAAAGGCGTTCCCACTGGGTTTTACCTGAGCTAACGGAGTCAGTTTTTAGTCGACTAGCTCTGCTGTACCTGCAGTTCAGATTTTTCAACTTGCTGCCCTTATGGGGAAAAATGGTTTTGGAGATAGGTCAGGTACGTCAGCTGTGTCCGTTAGCTCAGATAAAGCTCAGTGGGAATGGTCTTTAAAGACGTACACTTCCCAAGGGCTCCTAGAACGTCCCAGGGGAAAAACTCAAATCTTTCAGATTTTATATTACGCCCAAAGGGGCTTCTTTTCATTTACATACACATACACGTTTCGAGAGCATTTGGGCTAAAAATATTTAAAAACAGTCTACCTTAAAAATTTCCGATATAGACAGTCTCGCGCGCTGGAGATTTTTTTTTTTTTTTTTTTTTTTGTATAATGTTGCCATTGCTCGCTTTGAAATCGTTAAGTTTTTTAATCAAAAATTTCGTTCAAGTTTTACAGAATTTGAAATACAAAATAAAATATTTAACAACAGCATATCTTTAAAATTTTCGATAGACAGTCTCGCGCGCTAGAGATAAAAATGTTGTTTTCTCTACAGTAATGCCATTGCTCACTTTGAAGTCATTGAGTTTGTTAATCAAAAATTCGTTGAAGTTTTACAAAATATGAAATACACAATAAAACAAATTCAAAATTCAGGCTTCTAGGTGTCCATATTCGAGTGGAGGACTACGTTATTCAAAATTTGATGACTCTAGGTACTGTTGTTTTTTACAATGCGAAGAACATGCATACATTAATGCAAATTCTTCATTATTTAATTTCTTTAAACATAATACAGGTAATTTTGGTAATAAAGTTTGGTGGCAACGATTTGAAAAGTAATTCAGACTTTTAATAGTGATTCAACGCAAAATCCCGTTTTGAGAATAATAGCCCTTCTGGGCTAACGCTCCTTTGAGCTAAATGCGACATGAATTTATGAGATTTTGAAATTACATATAAACTGAATGAAGCGGTATTCTGAAATCACTGTACACGGGAACTTAGGTTCTTAGCGCAGCAGCCTTAAAGAATAGTCAAATTTTCAGAATGCGTTAAAATCTGGCAACAAAATCATTACAGTTCTTCTTGCAACTATTATGTATTGTCGACAGCATTTTCAAGATTTCTAATTAAATCTTCGCTTAATTTTTGTGTTTTAGAGTGTTCACCTCAGTTAACATCCATTTATTAGTCCTTATGATTTATGAATATATTTACATGCATTTAATTGTGTTTGTTTTACATATTTTCAACAGGAAAATATTTAGTAGTTACAAAATCTTGTTCTCGCGCATAAAATCCTTCTGTAATTGATTTAGCTTTCAGTAAATTTAATAACTGTTTATCAAAAATAAAACATTGTTTATATCCTTCTTTTCTCTCCAAGCTATTTAAACTTTTCTCGCGGCCGAGCGGTAAAGTCGCTGAACACTGGTAGTTCGGTCCGAGGTTCGAATCCCGCGAACGGGCTGGCTGCATGGGTGTTTTCGTGGTTTTCCCCATGTGTAACGTGTGTACGAGCCAGTGTCCCTTAGAAAGTCCTCCACGAAGGCATCCTAAAATCAAGCATGAAGAAACTATCAGGAAATACATATTTTTAAAATTTTTCTTTTCAAATATAACTTCAACTTTAGCAAGCAATATTCCCATTTTCAAGTTCCAACAGTTTTAACTAACTAATCGTTATCTCACTTTTAAAATATGCGCTTGTGAAATTTGCTTGTAATAAAAATTAAAAAAAAACTTGCTGTAAAATTTTTGCAACAATACATCAGTTTGCAGCAACATTTTAAAGAAAGCAATTCCAATGAATCTATTTCTAAAGCTGTTGAACAAAAAACTACTTGCAAGTACGTTTACTGATTGATTTTTGGAATAAAAATTCCTTTGAGATGTAAAACATGACTGAAAAATGATGTATAAGTATGTAGTAGATAACATTTCAAACTGCGTCGAGGGTTGTATACAGTCTTTGGCATACTTTTGTCACGAGATGCAGCTTTGGAACCTTTGATTTAGACAAACTAAAATTAATTATATTGCTAATATAAATTTACAGCGAAATATGTGTAACTGTTAATATTAATAGTTGACACATCTGCGAATACAAGAACAAATAATCCTGAATGCTAAAGAAATGAATAAATATACAGAAACAGAAATTGGTACAACGTGAGTAAACTTGCAATACTATAGTTTTGAAAGTTAAACAAAGCCTTCAGGTGCGATCAAGAGTCCTTTTTCACTTTCGTAACTGAAGAAGGTTCTTTTTTGATTCCGCACTATGGCAAGGTTACTCAAGTTACTTCAGCCCACCAGCGACTGGTCGGTAAAATTGCTAAACACTGGTAGTTCGACTTGGGTTTGATTCCAGGCAAACAAGCTGGCTGCATGGACGGTTTTGTGGTTTTTTCATCTGGATAAGAACCTGTTGCCCTTAGAAATTCCTCCACGAAGACATTTGCCCCCTTACGTCTTTGGAACGCTTTGCCACAATTAAATAAACTAAACCAAATCATGCCAAACCTAGACAAGTTACGCCAATTACTGTTCAGAATTATTTGCTTCTTCAGCATTTAGTTCTTTGGCATGCTCGTGTTTGTAACCGCAGATAGCCCTCCTAACAAAATAAGTTAAGCATTTGTCAAATTTACGACAGTAAAATATGTAAAAAGAAATACTCATAATACTTTAAATGTTTTAGAAATCTCAGTTCTAATGCAAATGGAAAATGCTGATGCGATATTAAACTTGGTTCGAATGCTAAGCGTTGGATTTTTCCTTGCAGCTTCAAAAATCAGCAAAAAGATTTATAGAACTTCATTATTTGGAAGATACAATTTTGTGAAACAATCTTGGAACTTTTTATTTAATAGAGACGGGTTAGCAATGTTTGCATGTTCTGTTATTCAAAATACGTTGGAAACGGACACTTACAGGACATAAAACATTTTACATCTGATGAAATCTTATCGAAACTTTCGGCAGAAAACTACACTGACGGACAAAGTTAACAGACGGAAAACATTTTCCCACATTTCGCCTAAAACACCATACAAAACCTAGACAGTTAGTTGTCATATAATGCTACTGTGGCGCGCATATTCACAAAGCCTACAGACCATTTCTCTATGGGCTGCTCTCATAGGAGGAAACATCTGCTTGGTGTTCATATTTGGAATGGTGAGTTATCGCCTGGTAGGCGTGGTAATTAACGCCAAACAAACGGAAACAGCGTTTATTTCATTCGATATTTTTTTAGTTTATGAACGAAAGCTGAGGGGAATTGTGTGGAATATATTTTAAATAACCTACTGATCTTATTAATAATTTATTTGTATTTGAATTTAAGCTTTTAAAAGTACGTAATTGTTTTACAAGAAAAAGGTGTTTACATGGAGATAGCATATGCCCTTTTTCGTCATTTCTGTTAGAAAGAGTCTATTGTGTAAATTTCCATAGCGCATTAATTTATACAAATAAAGGAATATTAAAAAATTAACCAAATGAAAACATTCAGTAAACATTTAAGGGCGTCGGATACTTATATTCTTTTTACCTAAATTATGAGTAAGTATAACTAAAATTATATTTTATTCCATTATGCGCTATTTTTATTGAAACACTTTTTGGGATCTTGGATCGCAATCTCGCTACTGGTACCTACTACAAAGAGTACAAACCAGTAAATAAAAATAAGAAAAATTAACGTTAACAAAAGGTGTATTGAGGATACGGCAAAGCACACTAGGGCTATCTGCCTTAACATTAACAAAAATAGAGAAAATAAGGCGTTTAATTTTTAACACCGCACCTGAAGACGAAAAGACAAATAATGACAAAGTCATTCAATAAAGTTAAAATAAAAGTAAATCCGTGCAGAGCAGAGTTTATGATAGCTACGAGCGGTGATGGAACCGGCGACCTAGAAGTCTGAGAAATTTTCCCGCGCTCGTTACTGCTGATCTGTCGTTTCGCCAGTGGGTTGTGCACACATTTCGGTATACGACAAAACAAAATTTCGGTATACGATACAAATTGTAAAGACGATGAACCAAAAGTCACCAAGCACTAGATTCTGTAACCCTACGTTGCCTGTTTTAACCAATCGGAGCAAACAGCAGAAGAAACGGTCTGTAGGCTTTGTGAATAAGCCTGTGGCGCTGGTGGCACTGAAATGAGTTAACGTATACTTGTGGGCGTTGCTACTCCAGCAGGAGGTATAAACGTCCCCGTACAGCTGTTCAGTTGATTCCGCTCTACAACACGGTAGTGATTTTTAATGTCTTTCTTGAATAATCCTATTGTTTTTTTAGGTGAGATGAGTACGCATCATCTCTTAGACGAGAATCGTGGGTAGGCTTGAGGCAGGGCAGTTCCAAGCTCAGGTTGCAAGAGAACTGAATGAAACCTCAAGAGCCACAGCGACCAATGACGACCGGCATTTAGTACTTTCAGCGAAACGTCAGAGGACGTCTATAGCCACACAACTCTCTACTACCATAGGAAAATCAATTTCAAGGAAGACAGTTGCTCCATGAGACATGACTGTATGCCAGAAAGCATCCCACTCACTCCCTCCAACAAAAGAGAACGCTTACAACGGCTCATATAACACCAACACTGGACACAGCTTCAATGGGCTAATGTTCTTTTTACGGATGACTCCAGATTCAGCCTACAATCTGATTCTCAGCGACTATTGATATCGATGGAACCTGGGACCCGATCCATCCCCGCAACATCATGGAAAAGGACCAATATTGTGGTGGAGAAGAGATGGTCTGGACAAGATACCTGCACACCGCTCCCTGTGTTTGACACTCGTTCTGTAAATCCCCAGAGGTACAGACAGGAGGCATCCTACAGGCATCCTATGTGCGACTTTCTTTTCAGGGGGGCTATTAGCCCTGAGTTTATTTTTATCGATGAAAATGCAGGACCTCATAGGGCTTACCTGGTTGATAACCATCTGTAAAGCAAAGATATTCACCGAATGGATTGGCCAGCCAAATCTCCTGACCTTAATCCTATTGAACATGCTTGGGATGCTCTTGGGAGGGCTATTAAAATACACCAACCCACACCCAGAACCATTCAGGAGTTAAAAACTTTTGTAGTGGAGAAGTGTGTGCAATTTCCACAGGGGACTCCTGAACGTTCTAATTAACAGAATGGCTACTCGTTGTGCATGGTGTCAGTCAGAAGCGATCACACACCATAATAGGCACATTTACACTACCATCTTTCAAACTGAAATTTGTACCGTACTGGACTCTTGGCCATAACTCATGCTAATGAATGGCATTATCGTTGTTGTTTTATACACATTATTGCTATACTATAAACTATACTCATACGTAATTTCGTTTATTTCTGTCCGGTATTTCTCGAGATATTTGGGAAAAAGTGTTCCATTTCTTAATTTTGTCCTCCAGTATAGATTATATTAAATCTACGCGGGCATTTCCAGTGGCACTTTTTTTGGCATATAGGTTTTTAATTCGGGCATGTTTCCATTGTTGTTATATTTATTAATTAATTTAAAACCTGCTAATTAAGATATCTATATTTCGGCAAAGGTTTTGAAACTAAGCCATTATTCAGATAATTTTGAGCATGAATAATTTTAAATTTTGAAATTTAGTAGAAAATTATTCTGATATTTTCAGGTTAAACATAACACAGGTTCACAAAATTGAAAGTAGCCTCTATTTTCAAGGTCTAGAAGATTACACTTGGCTAAGGGATTATTTCTAAAAACAATTTCACTTTTTCAATTTTCTTCATTTAGCAAGTATTCTCAACAAGGGGAATTAGCACCTGAGAGGGAAATTTCATAGTTTAAAATGGAAGGACTGTGGCCAGTTTTTTATTTAGCTATTAAGAATTTAATATTAGTTTATGAATATAAAAACTGCTTTTATTAGGGTTTTAATGTTTATCATCATTTTCTATACTGTTTGTTGTTATTTTTCAGCCCGAGGAGGGGGGGGAACGTGGCCAGGTTTTTATTTAGATATCAAGAATTAATCAGTTTAGAAGTTTAGAATTAATCAGTCAGAATATAAAAAGCCGCTTTTATTCAAGTTTTGATGTTTATCAACATTTTCTATACAAAGGGGCAATTTGTCCTGAAGGACTAATAATTTCGTTTCGGAATTTTGCGTCGAAAACTTGAAAAGGCTGTACCATTTTTCAAATCGTTTCCACCATATATTATCGCCCTGTCTTAAAGAAATTAAGGGATGAAGAATCTGCATAAATGTATGTATGTTTCTCGTATTGTGATAAAACAACGGTACCCAGAGCCATCAAAATTTGAATAACGTAATTTTTCATAGAATATGGGCATGTGGAAGCCCTAATTTAAATTTGAAATTTGTTTTATGATCGATTTCAAATTTTGGAACACTTCAACGAATTTTTGATTAAAAAACTAAACGATTTCAAAGCGAGCAATGGCAACACTGTACTACAATATATATATATATATATCCAGCGCGCGAGATTGTATCGGGAATTCTAAAGATATGCTCAGTTTAAAATTAATTTGCGATATTGCTGTTGAACTGAATTTTACACTTTGAGTACGCAGAACATGATATTTAATAAATAAAGGTAACACACAAAATGTTAAAAAACGCCCCTTTGGACGTAATTTAAAATCTGAAGCCTCTCAGATTTTCTTTTTGTTGTTTTATTTATAAAAACGTTAAAAGGTAATCTAAATAAATTCCTATGTATTTTTCGAATTTTGGAAAAAGGGAGAGAGAATATCTCCTAGCAATACTGAAAGGGGTGCATCGTGCAAAAAGGGTTGAGAATCACCGATTTAGTGTCAAAAACTAATGGCGATTTTGGGCAGTTGGAGATTATAGAGAGCTAAATCGAATTACAGTGCTGGACAGATATCTTCTCCTCACCTTCATATTTTTGACGTACGAATTTCATTTCAAAGAATATTATCAAAAGTCGATTTTGTGAGGGTATTAGATTCATGTTAGTCCAACTGATGTAATTGGAACTGATGTAATTGTCTTTTGGACTAATTGAAATTAATTTGAATTAATTTAATACTAATTTTAATATTTTCTAATAAAAATAGCACCACATATTTCTCATTTTAGCAAAGTTCTTATTGTTTAAAATAAAAGAATTCGTGTTTTACTTACTTAACTATTGATGAGAGGTACGAAGTGGTGGCAAAAGGACTTTTTTGAATGACTTTCTCACACCATAGCTGAAACATTATTAATGTATATTTTGAAATAATTATATTTGCATTAATAGAGATAACACTACAATAAATACACCGTAGAAAAATTTTGTTACGAATTTTGTATTTACTTAGATATTTTTAGTCGAATTATATTTAAAATTGTTTTATTTCTCTGTGCAATGCAGCGTGTGATAAATTTTAAGAGAAAGCTACGCCGAAAAAGTAAAAATGTAAAAGCACGTACCGTGCTCCTGCCGTGAGTAATTAAATATCTCTTTAATTTATATTTAAATTGAATAAATGCAATTGATTGCTATGTTACTTGTAACCGTAAATCTACTCTTTTACTTTCCAGGAATCTCGAGAAGCAGAAATTACTAGATTCGCACGCGACCGATTGAAAGCTATAAAACGCCGGAGAGAAACAACTCAGTTCAGTTGTTTAGTTAGCTGCTGTTAATTACTGTTAATCGGATTAGCTTTCTCTGCGCTGTGGATTGCGTTCTGTTTAACGTTTTAGTAGTTTAAAGTATAGCTATTGATTATATTGCGTGATATTGTGATATTATGCGAGTACCTCTAAGGAAATATCCAGCATTCTGTTTTATTTTTTGATAAGAATAAATTTTATTAACTTTTTATTGGACTTATGCATTCAATCTAATACGGAATCGTACGCACTCAAGACGTTTTTATGTCAGAAGTGGGGCTGAATTCCAATAACAAGAGCGATGGAGGAACAGTTAAGGCAGTTGGTGGCAGCCTTTGCTGCACTTAAAGCAGAAATGAAAGCGGGGCAAGAAGATATGCAAGCCCGTCAAGATTCCGTTAAACAGGATCTGAAAGCTGTTCAAGAGAAGATGGAAGCTGGTCAAGTATTTGTTAAAGAATATCATGAAGAGTTCATAACATTTCAACTTAATGAAAGCTATTCAGGAATCTGTTAAAGAAGAAAGCAAGGTTGTTCAAGTAAGGATTGAAGCAGGTCAAGAGGAAATGAAAAGAGAAATTACATGCGTAATAGAAAATAAGTCTGAAGCTATGGAAGGCAGAATTGAGGCTGTTGATAATAAAGTTGGACACATTGAAGAAAGAGTTTCTTCGGTGAAAGAAGAAATAGAAGAAAGAGCTTCTTCTGTAAAAGAGTAAATAGAAGAGTTTCTGCCGTGGAACAAAAGGTTGATGACAGGGTTTCTGCTGCCGTCGCTAAAGAAGCTGACAACTTAAAGAAGTGCATAGCGATAGCAGGAAACAATCTGAAGTTTTAAAATTTCTACCCATGCCTGCTCGTCCCACTCTGAAACTATTCACATATGATGAAAAGACGTCCTGGAAAGTATATAAGACACAATTTTCTATAGTGGCGGAAGCGAATGAATGGGATTCCCAAGCTAAGGCCTGTCATCTCGCCGCTTCTTTGAGAACAGATGCAGCGGATATCTTTCAGACGCTTCCAAAAAACATAAGGCTAGATTTCGAAGTTCTATCCGGCGCGTTGGAGCTGCGCTTTTGGGAGACGTGTTTAAAAGACTACAACAAGCTTCAATTAAAATTCCTTCAACAGAAGCCCACGGAAACTGTCCAGGAACGTGCCACGGATGTTGAAAGGCTGTCTCATCTCGCCTTTTCGGAATGCCGAACATAAACAAGGGAAATCGTGTCCCTGCAGTACTTCATCGACGGCATCCGAGATCCTGAAATACAGAAAGTTCTGCGAATAGCGGATGTCAAGGACTTAAAAAGCACTCTAGTGTACGCCATGAAATTCGAGGCAATCCAGCAAGCAACTCGTAGAGAGCGCCACCCAGTCAGAACTGCTGAAGTCCACGAGTCAGTGGATCAAGTAATGGCTCGTTAATATGATTTATCGATGCCTATCAAAGTCAATGCTTTGATACGGAATAGGAGTGAAAACAAACTGGTTCTAAAGTATTGGAAATGTGGAGTTGAAGGCCACGTACGATAGAATTGCAGAACACCCTTAAGCACGAAAAATAAGACAAACGATTTAACCAGATATCTCAATGCCTTCAGACGGAATGTTAGCGACAAGAAACCAGCCCTAAAGTGCTGGAACTGCGACGCTGAAATCCACGTACGAAGGAATTGCAGAGCATCCTAGGACACGGAAAATAAGACCATTTCTCAGCAATGACGGTAGAAACAAGTTAATGGCCATATCGCAGAGAGGAATTGGAAGGATGATGAGAAGCCCCGATTTAGAGCACTCAAGTTTTTTGTAATGAGTGGCAACAGTAATGGAATATTCATCAATGGGCATATCGATGGAGTTCCTTGCAATATGATCATCGACACGGGAGCTAATGTCACCATCATTCGGAAAGATTTAGCTCAGCAATTTAAAGATAAACTGATTTGGACGGCATCCTGTGTGTGTCCGTCCATCATGGTGATGTTATTTGGACTATGTAATGCGCCGGCTACATTCGAACACTTCATGGAAACTGCTTTGAAAGGTCTTTCCTATGAAGCCTGTCTACTATACCTGGATTACATCATCATCGTGAGAAAGAGGTTACAAGAACATCTAGAAAATCTTAGCGAGATGCTTCAGAAACTGAAAGAAGCAAATCTAAAGTTGAGTTCCGCTAAATGTAAATTATTCGGACAGGTAGTAACTTACTTCGGACATGTCATCTATGTCTACGGATCCAGAAAAAATGACAGCAGTTAAAGACTGGAGACGCCCCGAAAATGTTCATCAGCTAACAAGTTTCCTGGGGCTTTGTACCTACTATAGGAGATTTGTGAAGGATTTTTCTTCCGTCGCAAGACCCCTTCACAACCTGACAGAATGCAAAAAAAGTTCTTGCGGGCAAACGGGTGTGAGGATGCATATAACAACTTGAAGAATGTTTTAACATCTGCGCCAATCTGGACGTATCCTCAGCTCGACAGACCACTTATTCTCGACACAGACGCGAGAAATGAAATTGTCGGTTTTTTTGTCCCAAGAAATAAACGGTAAAGAACGCGTAGTGGCTGCTGGAGCAAGTGCTTGTCTAAGCCGGAGAGAAATTACTGTATCACGAGGAAAGTGTTGCTCGTCATAGTCAAAGCCGGAGAGAAATTACTGTATCACGAGGAAAGTGTTGCTCGTCATAGTCAAAGCCGTAGAACATTTCCATTATTCTCGATACGGCAGAAAATTTATGCATCATTGGCCTGACTTTAGAATTTCAAGAAGCCTGAGGGTCAAATAGCCAGGTGGATACAGAGATTCCAGGAATATGACATCACTGTCCGTCATCGGAAGGGATCATTTCACGGAAACGCCGATGCCCTGTCTAGAAGACTTGTCCAGAAAGCTGCCGATATTGTTCCAGAGTCGAAGCGAAATACGAGCTGCTGAGTCCGGTCGCACGACAAATTACAACATCAAAATCGGTTGACCGAGACCCGTGGAGTGATGTGAATTCAAGAAAGACCAGCTGGAAGACGGTGACATTAAACCCATAATTGATTTAATGGAGTCTTCAAACCGAAAACGTACCAGGCAGGATAATTTGATCTATAGTCCTCCAACAAAACAATAGTGGGCAGTCTGGGACTCACTCCATATTCGAAACAGCGTCTTGTACCTGAAATTCGAATCAGATGATAGAAATGTTTTCCGATGACAGCTGATATCGGTCTCCGGATGTCCTTATAGAACTACATAGCAGCCCTACAGGAAGCCACTTCGGAATAATGAAGACATTGCAAAGATTTCGAGAGCGATTCTACTGGAGTAATGAAAGGAAGACGTGCAAAAGTGGTGCTGATTTTGTGATGCCTGTGCAGTCGGAAAGGACCGAAGTAACGCAGCCGAGGCAAGTTGCAACGTTATAATATTGGAGCACCTTTTGAACGTATCGTCTTTGACATCTTGGGACCTCTGCCACGAACAGCTGATGGCACCAAATAAGTCCTGGTTGCCATTTATTGTTTCACCAAGTGGCCTGAAGCATATCCTATTTCTGATCAAGAGGCTGTCACTGTAGCAGAGTTAATGATACAGCACTGGATATCCAGGTTCGGAGTGCCTCTTCAATTACATTCCAAACAAGGAAGGGACTTTACCTCGGCTATGATCAAATAACTCTGCATGATACTGGGCATTGACAAAACCCAAACATCGCCTTTACATCCCCAGTCGGACGGCACGGTACAGAGCTTCAATCGGACCATCCTTTAATGACCTCTCCTGAGTTGTTTCCAGAAACCAACAGGACTGGGAAAAGAAGTTACTACTGTTTTTACTGGCTTACCGCAGTGCTGTTCACGAGCCTACCGGCTATTCACCATCCCAGATGCTCTTTGGTCGTGACCTTTGCCTGCCTTGTGATGTTTTGTTTGGTCGCCCTTCGGATGTACTTTCATAGCCAGTTTTCCAATTTTTTATTAATGTTAAGCAATATGTACCAAGGAATGAACTATTCCTATAAGCATTCTGCAGTACCAAGATTGCTTTAGATAAGGGTGGACATGGCGCTACACCAATTAACCAATATGGTAGAGGGGTGGTGCCCATGTCCTCCGTACTCACTCACTCACCTTCATTGCCAAAGGAATACATTAAAGATCTCCAGAGCCGGTTTGAGGTGATGCACAACTCTGCACGAGAGCGAGTCAACTTGGCGACGGAGAAGATGAAGACCCGATACGACACTAGAGCTACTGGGCATCGACTCAACGAAGGCGACAAGGTGTGGTTGTGGAATCCGACTCGTCGGAAAGTACTCTGTCCGAAACTGCAGTCACCTTGGGATAAAATACTATTGTTGGAACTTGTATAATATGAAAGTGTCTCTAATGTTTTGTAAACTGTACTGCTCTTCACAGAATCCAGCAAAGCATGTGTTTCGTTTAGTATTGCAAGTGGTAAAGGCTGTTGTAAATAGTATAGTCTAATGCTATGCCCTGTGTCATGTACTGAATTAAGTTCAATATTTGTCATGTAATACTGCACAAAGTACTTTTTCTAGTGATAAGTATTAATATACAGAAAGATGATTAAC